AATTCTACGAGCCGCCTTTGTGCCACGCCCCTCGAGGCAAGCCCAAACAAGTCCATGTTAGGGTCTTAAATTCTTAGTTTTCACACAAAAAATAATAATTGTATAGTTTTAATTGCTTTTAAGAAGATATTTTATTAGGATGAATGAATGGACAACATTACCAATTAGGGGATTCTCGAAGCTCCGGTACCCTAACATGGACTTGTTTGGGCTGGCCTTGAGGGACCAGCCCCTCAAATGCGCCTCGCCTTTTAAATCATTGTTTGCACCTGCATTTATTTTTCCTCTTTCAAAGAACTCCAAGAAAACCTCAACCAGGTCATCACCTAAGATATCACAACAGTCTTGATAAAAAGCCAAAGTGAATCCATCCGGGCCCTGGGATTTTGATCTTTCCATAGAGAATGCTGCCTCCTTTATTTCCTGAACCTCAAAAGGCCTTTCCAGGGGTTCCAACAACTCCCTTTGTTCAGCATGCCATTCAAAGTCAGATAGAGACTCTCTTACTCTACTGGGACTGCCATAAATGGATTTAAAATGCTTCACAAAAGCTTTTGCAATCTCTTCCTCTCTTGTCAGCACTACATTCCATTCCAAACTTTCAATAGTGTTCTTCCTTTTCCTTCCATTTGCCAAATTATGAAAAAAGTTTTGTATTCCATCTCCTTCCTTCAACCATTTGCATCTTGATTTTTGTCTCCGACTTATTTCTTCTTTTTTCTGAAAATGTCCTCTAAATCTTGTTTCAACTTCCATCTCTCTTCCCTTCCTTTAAGCCTTAATCTTTTCTCTGCTTCAGCAACATCAAGCTCTTGAATCCTTTTAATAATAGCCTCCTTTTTGTCTTCAATTCTGCCAAACTCTTCTTTGTTCCAAGCTTTGGTCCTGGCTTTCAGCTTTTGTAACTTCTTGTAGAATCTATAGCCTTTCCATCTAAACACAACCTGATCCTCTTCCCACCACTCTTTCACCTTCTTTTGAAAGTCTGGATGTAGCAGCCACATGTTTTCAAATCTGAAAGGGCAAGGCCCTCCTCCTAGTCTTTCTTGAGATGGCCTAACTGGGCAATGATCTGACGTAGGTCTAGGTAGGGCCCTCATCACCAAACCACTCCAAACTTCCTCCTAGTCTGAAGAGAATAAGAATCTGTCTAGCTTACAACAAAGTGGCTGTTCCTGGAAATTAGATAAGGTATATTCAGCTTGCAACAACGGCAATGGTTGCTAACTCCTATGGTGGAGTTATTTATTTCATTGACAAATCTAATGACATTGAAGTCTCCTTCCAAACACCATGGTCCCTTCCACAATCCCCGTATAGCTGCTAACTCCTCCATTTCTCTATATGAATTTGGCCCATAAACATTTGTTAAAACCCATTCCAGTCCATCAACTCTTATTCTTAATTTCATAGTAACTGTAAAGTTGCCAATCAATTCTTCAGTACAATCCATCTCCTCATTCTTCTAGATTGTTAGGATTCCTCCCGAGGCCCCCCAAGATTGTGCAAAAGCCCAACTCAATCCTCTATTTGACTAAATACTTCTCACCCATCTCCTATCCACCTTTGATAATTTTGATTCTTGATTTAACACAACATCTGTCTTCTCTTTTCTAAGCATTTCCCTTATCACTCTTCTTCTCTTGGAACGCCCCAAATCCCTTACATTCCAACTAATAATATTCATTGAGATACGATCTTATGAACAAACCCTAGACCTAGACAACACCTTTTGCTAACCTGACTACCTTCCCTTTCTCCTAGAACACCCCTTATCATAGTCCACTTCACATCTCAGTCTTTCCACTTCACTCAGTTTATTCTTCCTCCTTTTGGGTGTCCCTCCTTCAAGCTTTTTCTTAGAGTTATCTTGGTCTTCCACTCTTTTCTGTTTTTGTGTCACCCTTCTGTTCCTTTTCAAAGTTCTCCCCTAATTCCTCCTTTACCAGAAGTCTAAAGGTTTGCAAGATTAATCCCCAAATCCTTTTCCCTTCCTCCACAGTATCATTCAAAGCCTCCACATCCTCTAATACCTCTGTTACTTCAATAGAATCACTAGGACAGGCAGCTTTTGGAAGAGTGTCGGCTTCACCTGCAGGCTGAGACAAAACAGCAACTGGGGAAGGGGACAGATTAGTACCAAAAACTCGAGGAACAACAGAAACATGAAAAACCATACCAGAATCACCAAAATCCGAAGTGTCACCAATTCCGCCTAGGTTTTGAGGGAGTTTGCTGGGAGAAGTCTCCTTAGGATCATCCTGTGTTGCACTAACAGGGGATAAGGGAAGGGCACCTTGACCCTTGATCTGGATTCGTGGCAGGTTCTTCTCTGATTTTGGCCAAGACGTTCATCTCCCCCAAAGTACTGCCTCCCTTTCCCAAGCTTTTTGACGGTTCTAGAGAGTTCACAAGCTTAGGCAAAGTTTCTTCTCCAAAAAGGAGTGTTGTTCCAAGGTCTACATCCACCAGAGAGGAACCTTTCGAGCATCTATTTCTCACACTTCCTATGCTGGAATCCTCGAGGAGAACATCATCTTCCTTTTCTTCTTCACAGTTTACCCACTCTGAGTCGAAACTATCATCATCAGACCTCCGCCGATCAAACTTTGGGTTTGTATGCTCCGGGGTCGTGGAATAGGAGACTAGTCTAGGTCTCCAGTTGAAACCCTCCATCGTTGCTGTGTTCGATCCGCCTCTCTTCGAACCAGGTCTCGAGTTGGAAGATGATAGACCTAAACAATGGTCCATCATCTTCGGTTCTGCCTTGGTCATGTGACCACTTAAGTGGTCACCTGATGTTCCTAAGTTAGTCACATGACCACTTAAAGCTTACATGGTCTCTCAACTTGCTTCAGCCCCTTACACCTAGGGCCCCCCTCTGGTACATCTTTACACTTTTTAATGGGCTTACTTGGAGGTCCATCTGCAGAGACCTTAAAGTGGCCTCAACTTCCACACCCACTACTCTTCTACTCGACTGAACCTCCTCCCCATGTGGCGAACCTGAATCAGCGTCCACTGTCTTCAACGGCTCGAAAACAAGCCCAGCCTGGCATACACTCTCCTTTAACACACCTGAAGATTGAGCAATTGTCTCTTTGTTAAAACCAGAAGTCAGAACCTGGGCATAGGTCCTGTGCTGCCTAAACCACTTCCTTGTCTTGTACGCATCATAGTTTCCCCTGTAGACAACTCTTATGAGTTCTTCTTTTTCAGAGTTTCCAAAAATGCGCAAGTCTCCGCCAATCTCTGATTTCCGTGTAGGTATTCTTCTTCTACCTTCTCTTCCTCCTCCCCCCTGGACTCCCTCCACAAGGTAGCTTCAATGGAGGATAGAAGCCACGCAGGGTAGAAACAGTCTTCAAAGAAAACTTCTATCTTCCTTGGAACTTCTTCTGGCTTAACTCCACTTAGTCTTATGGCTGCTGACCTGAGGTCCAGTACGAATACCTCATCGAGTTGGGCCTTGCATAACGAAGCAATTGACTCAAACACTTCTGTCTTCCACAGATGAATAGGCAAACCAACAATCCTGATCGTGACCCTGTCTACTAGCTCCAAATCTTTTGAGTTTGAAACAGGGGACCACTTCATAACCGTGACTGTTTACCCAGCTACCTGAAAGTTCAAAGCTTTAACATCCACTTCATTCTCCAGCAGGTCAAACAGAGCTTTGCAATCTTCGAATAGAGTGATGAAAGTAGGGCCCTTCAACTTCAGAGTTTTAATTACGCCTTCTGCTATTTTCTTCCAATCTTCTGGTTTCTTTTTTGTGACAACTACCAATTTCTTTTCTACTCTTCTTTCTCACCTTTATAAGCTATTTTGCCCGTACCCATAACATTCACCACCATATAATTGCTCAAAACCCATATGATTAATGTGCTTTGATGCAATTCACTACTCTCCAAAAAATACTGTCATCTTTTTTTGATCAGCAATCAACATCAAATTTTATTACTTAGAATAAGAAGAGAGTACAGAGCAAAGGCAGCCTCGGATACCACCAATAAAATACAAAGACAATTTAATATCTAGTCTTGCAACTGAGTCCAGAAGCACACTGTCCTATTTACCCCTTGCTTTGTTAGTTGGTCAGCTAGACCATTTTCCGACCTAGGAGTCCATTGAATTATCAGCTGCATATCCCTTGAGAACCTCTTGAATTGTTTGATTTTGTTTCTGAAAAACCAAGGAACCTTCTCATTCTGTTTTAGTCAACTTATTACTATTTTGGAGTCACCTTCAACTATTAGCTTTTGTATCCCCATTTCCATAGATTTCTGCACCCCATAAATTACTGTGTTCAGTTCTGCTGTTACAGAATCACACACTCCAATGGGGCCTGAGTACATACCCATGATCACTCCGCTTTCATTTCTTAAAACCCCTCTAAATCCAGATGGCCCCGGATTCCCAAAATTACTTCCGTCAAAGTTTAATTTCAGGAATTCTAACTCTGGGGGTTCCCAGCCCTTTAGTGCCTTCCACTTAGCTAAAGTTGAGGCTGCAATTGTTCTCCAGCTCCTTAATATGTCATCAATAGAGAAGGCTGAAAGCAACTCCAGTGTCTTTATCCAGAAAGCCACTTTTGCCATAATTCCTTCAATTAATGCTTCTTTGCTCATTTTCTTTTCCTCAAATATACATTTATTTCTTTCCTCCCATATGTTCCAGATTACTGCTGCTCTTGTACACCTCCACATCAGTCTTCCCTTCCTTTTTGTCCAGCTGAAAGTAGAAGTATCAAACAACCTGTCCAAGCTGTCTGGAGTATTCCACCTGCACCCAAAAAGAGAGAAAAACCAATCCCAAATACCACAAGCAAACGGACAAGAAATGAAAATGTGAAGAGTAGATTCACCATTAGATTCACACAAGCAGCACCAATTTGGGGAAAGGCACCATCCAGAAAAACAGTCATTTCTTAGTCAAGTAAGGAGTTTTATTGTAGGAGTGTCCATTAAATATCTTAGATAGTGTCAGATCAGATGATGATATGGCATTTTATCTTGGTCGTCTTGCCTCTGTCATCTTCAGATTTGGATGGTCACCTTTTCAAGTGTTTAACTATCACATAAGATGGAGTTGGAGTTGGCTATGTTGTTTCCTAATGGAATGAGATAGATGCGCTTTCAGGCTATAGATATTTCTGCATGCAACCATTATTTTTTGAACCAGGCAGCAGTTTTCCCTGTTAACATGTTGAGTATAAGAACAAATCTTGCCTGTAATTTTTAATGGGAGGTGGTTGAATGATGGCTAAGAATTTTTGTTTGAAGCTAGATTACACTGATACAATAATATTATTATGTCACTCTTTAATTGAAGGATTCCAATTTCAGGTGTGACAATGCTATTTAATGAGCCACCAGATGCACGCAAGCCAGACATAAGATGGAGACTATATGTTTTCAAGGCTGGTGAAGTGCTCAATGGTAACACTCTTAAAGTGCTTTTGCTTGTTTCATATATGCTTTCTCACTGTACTTGGGGTATGCAATTGATTATGCTTTTTTTTTTCCCACTTTCCTGCCACCTTATATGAACATAGACAGTTATTGTAGTCCTAAAAGTGGCAGTTACCAGAAAACATGTATGATGTTTTGCTTATCAGAATTCTTTTGATTTGATGCCTTTTTTAATCCCTGATATTTGACTATTTTCTTTTTAGCAAAATTAAAATTAAGGCAACCTCATATCAAAAGATTTAATCTCTGATGGCACATTTGAATCGACAAAAGTACAAAACTTTTGAAATAGAGTAAAACCTTTTATTTATTCTTAGTTTGTTGCTTTGAAAGTGCAGATACATCAGTTTTAAGAGTCGTTTCAACCTTTATTAATTATTTGATCAATTGAAGAGATGAAGAATTCAGTTATGGTTATAGTAAAATAAAATTTCCATTACCCAGTCCTGGTCCTGGCTATCCAGGATTTTGGGAGGGGTGGATTGGATACAGACTAACCTCTGGCATTTTAGCATGACGTGGCTGCCCTCTTACTTGAGGGTTATCCCAATCTTTGGTAGCCTAGCTATTTAACATTAGAAATTCAGAGCTCAGTTATATGGGAGTCTTGTTTTATTGATTGAATATTGCTGTGTTTTTATATATAAAAAAAGAATGTTGCTGTGTTTTTTTATCTCTTAGTTTGCTCAATTGTGTTTTTGATATTTTCATAATTTTCTGTCAATTGAATCTCATCTCTAAGGTTACTAATGCTATTTTTTCTAGTTTATTGTGTTTCTTAGCAGACTCAACTATTTCGAAATTTAGAGATGCATGTTCATTACATTTTGCAAAGTTGGAGACATCAATTTAATTTTGGTGTCTATTTTGTAGTTCATTAATGCTATTCTTATGGCTTGTCTTTAATTACTTTCCACATCTGTTATATTAAATCAATTTATGTTTCTGAGGAGAATATCTGATGAACAGAGCCCCTTTACATACATCGCCAGAGCTGTTACCTTTTTGGGAGAGAAAGAAGGGTGGCAGACATCCCTACAGATCACCCTTCCTGTAGCAAGCAACATGCTGTCGTTCAGTTCCGGTAGATTTATATTTGGCAATCTTGTTTTGTGGTTGATTTTTAAGAACACTTAGTAATTATTTATCTCGTATTTTTCAGGCAAGTGGAAAAAGAGCAACCTGATGGCAGATTGTTAAAGCAAGTAAGGTAAGAACAAGATAGTTTGTAATATATATATATATATATATATATATATATATATATATATATTATATAAACTTTACCTAATACCTAAAAAGAGATTATTACCAATATTCTTTATTGATTAGATTTCTTAGTGCTAATTACTATTCAATGTGCACTTTACTAGGCCTTATTTGATGGACCTTGGAAGCACAAATGGAACTTTCATTAATGTAAGCCATTTACTGCATTGCCAGTTTTCCATTCATTAGTACATTTTATTATATAAATGTACATCTATATATGTATATATAAATGTATACACATGCAGTAATTTTTATTTGACACTTGATTTTACTTGGTGCAGGATAATCGTATTGAACCTCAACGTTATTATGAACTTTTTGAAAAAGACACCATTAAGTTTGGTAATAGTAGGTAGGCAATTAAAGTTAATATCTAATCTGTATAACATTTAATCTTATTTTTGTTCAGATTATGATTCATGCCAACACAAAAATCATTAATAGCTTGCACTATAATTATGCTTCTTAATATGCTTTTTAAAATCTGAACATGCATAAACTGGTTACTCTCTTATGGGGGCATATATTACTCATATAAGACTCTGTTAGCTTTGATAGTTGTTGGGTCTTGAAATGGTGTAGAATAGCTAGTTAGCATTTTGGTTCTTGCAATTTTGACTGGAAAGTCTAATGAAATCAATTGAATTTTATCTATCAAATTTTTTTTTGACTGGAAAGTGTACAGGGAAAAATGGTGGAGTGAATGTACAGAAATTGGGTTATTAATGTTGAACAGTTAAGATTACTCTAATTGGTAAGAATGGATAAGAACCAGCATTTCTGGGGTTGGGTTGCTAGGAAAATATGAAGGGGAATATAGAAAGGATGAACTTAGATTGAATAGAACATAAGTGGTTGACTAGTAGTGGACGTGTGAGTGTAGTTGCAGGTTATAGGGCATGGAACGTCAATACATTTAAAAGGAGACAATAGGTTGAATCTCATGTTTTCGTTATTTCCTTCCTCTCCCCACTCTCCCTTTTTGAATCTTGTGGTTTTGGTGGAGGGATTGGAAGGGTGATTGTTGGGTTGGTTTAGGGACTGAAAATGCGGTCTTAGGCTATAAGAGTTCATGAAACAGAGTATTAAAACAGAAAGCTTCTTGTTAAATATCTTACTGGATTTTAAAAAGCGGAAACATAGACACTTGAATTGCTGTCTCAAGAACAGAATTAGGAGGAACTATGCTATGACTATGAATCCCAAATCTATTAGATTGAAACTTAGCCACACAACACAATATGCTTTTGAAAGTGTGCATGTGGGCAAATGAATTTTCTCTTTCACTTCATGTTGCTCTTGTACACAGTATTTTAAAAGTGCAAGGCACAAGGGTCAAAGCGAGGCACACGCCTTTTTGAAGCAAGGCGTAAAAATACAAAAATTTGCTAAAAAATAAAAAAAGTCATAAAATTAAAAAATGCCAAAAAATAAAAAAAAAGCAAAAAATAAAAATATTAAACATAATATTAATAAGAAATATAAACTTAGATTTTAAAATTAATTGTTTAAAAAACCTATTGTCTCCTATTGTCTAAAATTAAAATGCATAAACATAACATGTAAAGCATATTCAAATGAAAATTTAAAAATAAAATCAAACATATAAAACATTTTCAAGCATGTAAAGCCCACAATCTCGTTTTTATCCTCAATTGCATTACTTCAAGTAGCTAATGTGATGTAAAACATATTACATTCCTGATTCTACGAGTCACCTTTGTGCCACCCGCTCGAGGCAAGCCCAAACAAGTCCATGTTAGGGTCTTAAATTCTTAATTATCACACAAAATAATGATTTTATAATTTTAATTTCCTTTTTAAGAAGATATTTTATTAAGATGAATGAATGAACAACGATTTATTAAAAAAATGAATGAACAACATTAGCAAATAGGGGGTTCTACTCTGCTTCGGTTCGCTCCGAGAACCCATATTTGCTAATGTTGTTCATTCATTCATCTTAATAAAATATCTTCTTAAAAGGCAATTAAAATTATAAAATCATTATTTTTTGTTTGAGAATTAAGAATTTAAGACCCTAACATGGACTTGTTTGGGCTTGCCTCAAGGGGCATGGTTGGGGTCCGGGGGTGGAGCCCTCGACCCAGCCGCTAGTTTCAAAAAAATCTAAAGAGCGTACAATTTTCAAAAGGCGTACTAGGCATGCATCTTTTGAAAGTGCTTTTGCACCTTTTAAATCACTGCTTGTACATCTAGTCAATTGCATCCAATACCCTAGAAACAACTTAACTTATAAAGTTACAGTTGTAAATGGAAAGACCTCAAACACATAAAGAAATTAGGAACAAGCAATGAGTTTGGTAGTTGGATGTGTTGTGGTAAAGAAACATTTACAAACTAATCAAACATCAATAACAAGGTGTTCAAATAGTGCTGGGTGCACTGAGTTGTCAAGACTGCTGGAACAGACCAACAGAAGGCAGTTAATCAGTTTTACAAGAGGAACAAAAGCAGTTAATCAGTTTTACAAGAGGAAGCCACATCAGCACAACTAACCATCCACTTGTAACAACTGTCATCCACTTGTAACAACAACTGCCATCCACTTGTAACAACTGTAACAATCAAGATTGTAAAACTATAAGTAGTAGAGCAGAAAAGGAATAAGGGAATGACTCTTTCAGCATTAAACTCTCTCTCTTTCTCTCTCTCTCTCTCTCCTTCCAAGAATTTAGGAGGTTGGCCCCTCGAAGAGCCCCGAGTTAGGCAGGTTCCTAACAGTTGCTTTTGTAATGTGGAAATTGCTAGCATTTACCTGGTATGATCTAGTTATCATACAACTCAACTTCTTTTTTTTTTTTTTTTTGATAAGTAAAAGATCATTAAATTTCATTGAAAATCGTAAAGATAGGCTTCATTACAAGCATCCCACAGGGAGGCGCGAGATGCAGCCTCACTGTTAGAACAGAGCTAGTACAAAAGTACAATTGCACCCAATACAATTGATCCCTTATTACCCCTTGCTTAGCTAATGAATCAGCTAACGCATTAGCCTCTCTCCCACCCATTGTATATTTAGATTCATCTGTTGTGTTAATCACTAGAACTTCTTCATTTCATTTCTATTGAAGGAATGTTTAGGATCCATCATATGGATGGCCGAACCATGCTAGATGGCTGGGCAAAATTTAAAAAATTTTCTAAACCTTCCGGGAATCATATTCCTTAAGTTTCGAAAAACTGCATTTTTCTAGGATCGGTCTTGCACTGAACTGGACCAGATTTGAAACCAAACAAAGAAGGAGATGTATACCTGATATGGATACCACAAGTGTAGATCCCAAGGTTGAAGTTCATGCCCAAATCAGTTCCTAAAACCATTTTCCACTGAAGATGGCACAACTTGATCTTGAAGCCGGTTCAACAACGCAATTTTCAGCAAAACTGCAATCCAACTGCTTGGGTTGAACTGGGGAGGTGAGTACGAAATTTCTCTGAATTTTTCTTGCAAAAATTAGAGAGAACTGATCTTTATCAGTCCCAAAAGCTGTAGTCAAACTAGGGTATCTTGGGAGACAAAAGAAGAAGATAGAGCAGAATTGACCAGTGTTCTTGATCAATTCACCCTCTTCTTTTATCTCTTTATGGAGCACTTCTCCTAATCAAATTAGGAGATTATCCAAATCTTTATTTGGATCTAGACTCTATTAAGAAATAAGACTCATCCTCTTAAGAGGATGGGTGCTCCATACCCATTTCCAAACCCAGATTCGCCCCATGTCACATGACAACTTAAGCTGTCATGTGACATCTTAATTAATCATATTAATTATGGGCCTTAGGCCCGTTAGCTACATGGCTCATGACCCAAGAGTGTTGCTTGGCCAATTTAGGTTTGATTTGTATGGCGTGGAACCCCACAATGACCTCAAATAAGCCCACATGGGTTCGGCCCAGCCTCTGTGAAAAGGTCTGGCCGAATTCACTACTAAATGCAGTGAACTCCTGAGCTCATCACTATGGGCTCAAAATGACCCAACATTTACATTTAAATGATCCTTGAATCCAGCCATCCTATGAAGACCCAAGGATAATGGACTTAAGTAAGATAAAGCCCATCAGGTAATCAGCCCTTAATGGTCTCTTACACTTAACCTCTCGGTCCATAATGATTAAACACTGCTCTACAGGGAAGGACCTTTCCCCTGGCTGCAAGGTGTAGTGTCACACTCTTTGCTCGAATGGATCATGGGAATTAAAACCTTTTGCAAACACTTTTCATAAAACATAATATATATATATATTTATATATATTGCAAAACCAAATCTCAAACACAGTTGAAATCCATTGCTGACAGTTTAGGTTTCCATCAGAGAGAGTGTAAATCTGATCATTCACTTTATCCGACAAAGGGGCCGATCCTATCACTATGATCACTCACTTAAGTGAATTCTCAGACTATCCCAACATACCCAAGTTTTGACCCACAAAGGATTTCACTAATTGGCATATCAAAGACAGTCCCATCCGATACCTAGTGCAGTACCATAATCAAGTCTAGGGGTTATGTGTAACTTTTCAGTTTTGCCCATCAATCTCCAAGGTCCAGGGCATAAATGGAAAATGGTCCGGGTTCAGTGTTTCAACCAAACACACACTACATGTGCTTCGGGTCTAACCCTAGTAGCTGAGACAAGCTGCCCCAACTTCTTTGGCAGCACATCAGTGTCAGTCTTGGCAAGATAAACTCTCCAAGCCTATCCAATGGCTGAGAACATTCTAAACTAACACGAGTTTCATAAGTGTCCAGTTTAAGGGGTAATTTCACAAAAACATACCAATATCAACATGAAATAATAATGTACTTTTATTCATTTACAATAAATGTATCTGTACATCAATCTGATTGGAGCTAAGGGCATACATTGTCTAACATCTATAACACCAAATCATTGAGTCTGGATCTCTTAACCAACCTACTATCACCTTGGAGTCCCCTTCAATTACTAGGTTCTCCAAGTTTGTCTTTTGCAACCTGACCACCTTGTAATACTACAAACAGTTCACCCTTTAAAGAGTCTCCAATCCCCACCGGTCCTAAATAAAGTGCTAGTATGATCCCTTCTGTGTTCCTTATGACTCCTCCAATTCCCAAAGGATCTGGATTGCCTTGACTGCTCTCATTAAAGTTTAATTTCAGAAAACCTTCAGAAGGAGGTGTCCACACTGGTCTTGGCTTGATCTTCTGCACTAAACTAGATGCCACTAGAAACCAATTCCTCCAAATATCATCAAAAGAGAATTGTCTAAATGAACCCAGAGTTAGTAGCCAATGTAAAACCTTGGACATTACACAGTCCAAAATCTATTGTTTGCTTCTCTCCTTCTCTTGAAAGATTCTTACGTTTCATTCTTCCGATAGGGTCCAAATCACTACTGCTCTAGTTCACCTCCGCATTTTTTCCCCTTCTTTTTGGCCAAGCAAAAGTAGTAGAGTCAAACAGTAACTTACTCTCCCTTGGCATGTTCCACCTGCACCCAAATAGAGAGAAAAACAAATCCAAATGTCTGCAGCAAAGGAACAGGAAATGAGTAAATGATAACAACATTCACCATTGGGTTTGCAAAGAGTGCACCAGTTTGGGGAAATACACAAGAAAGGCCTTTTCTTTTGCAGGTAGTCCAGAGTGTTAATCATAATTTATTACACTTGCACCTGGAAAATTAGTTAGTGAAACAGATATCTTGAGGTTCTAGTAAGGCAAATGCTTTTGGTCCATTTGATTCCTTTCTTACTTGTCTTCTGGAGTAATGTTTTGAAAATCGTAATTGTATTGTAAATCGTAAAGAAAGTTGAATCGAATCGAATCGTGAATCATAAGATTATTTCTATTTTCTATAAACTTGAAAAAATTAAATATAGATATATTAGAAGGCTAAATATATATAGGAAAGTGACTTTACCCTATTTTTAATTTATATCTACCAAATATGTACCTAAAACAATAGAATTTACTACTTATACAATAGAATCCACATATAATTCCTCTTTAACCTACATATTATGGAAAACAAACTCAACTTTTAGTCTTAAGTAATGTAAATAAATCATTTTCTAGTAAGGGTTTTAAGAAAAGTCTCCCTTGGCAAAACCAAATATTAACAAAAACATAACAAAGTAGAGAACTAATTCTTAATTGAATTTATTTGAATCATAATGAATCGCATAAATCATAAAATTTATGAATCAAATTGTAGGATTCAAACAAAAATAGTAAGATTTTTGCAGAAAAGGATTTGGACATAAGATTCGAATTGAAACCCTTGGGATTCATGATTCAAATCGTGAATTGTATTGTAAATCATAAAATTTTGACAGCGTTGCCTTGGAGGATCTCCCTTTTGTTTGAGAAATTATATGTATCTCTCTTGTGCATGGATTTAAGAGGTGCCCCTCAGGCATGGAGCAATCATATGTCTCTCTCTTGTGCATGGAGAAATTTATATGTATCTCTCTTGTTGGGTGCACCTCACCTGGCTTCTTGCTATGGTTGATGAATTAACCCTGAATTTGATATTGAATACTATGATTAGGTGCCTTGCTTAGACACCTTGCTTATAGCAACAAAGCGCCTATATAGGTGACTAGTCATCCGCCTAGGTGACAAAAATGATATTGCAGGCACCTTATTAATTATTATAATATTATTCATGTTGCTAGTCATCCGCATATGTGTTTATGCATTCTATTCTATACTATATACATCGTTTTTACTTTGTATTAAAGTTTTACTAATGAAATTTAAAAATCCAAGGGTTTTAAGATGAGACAGAAATAAAAACCTCTTTTTGCCCTTTGCCCCTTTTCTGTTTCTCTCTCTYTCTCTCTGACACACATTAAATAAAACAGCATCTCCTCCCTTCTTCTTCTTCTTCTCTTTTGTAGAGATGTAGACAGGGATACTTAGTTGTTTCTTATATGCAGAAATATGCTCCCCATCTTAATTTGTAATTGTTTCAGGCTGCTGTTTTTGTTTTTCTCTCTGTCACAGTTGATAGGGGTATTTTTATCATTGCATCATCTTTTTATTAAGTAATATAAAAGCCAATGAGGGGGGCTGCCGAACCTATTCATTCTGCTCTCTCTTTCTCTCATTCCTTCTCTTGTCCCTCTCTTCTTCTTCTTTGTTTTTTTTTCTTCTTTTCTTTTCTTGAACAGATTTTGAACTAAACCTAGGACTGTTACAGCTATATTTCAAGTTGGTATCAGAGCAGGTTTAAGTTTAGTTTTTGGTCTCATGTATGCTTTTAACCTAGCCAGCTGCATGAGACTCTATTAGGTCTGGAGTTTCAGGCCTTTTTTGCCTGATTCTTGGAGGTCAGTGGAGTTCGGTCCACTATTATAGCACTTCTCTGATTTCTGTTTTTGCCTAGTGACCAGGAAGAATAAGAGATACTTGTTCAATTGAAGTTTAGGGGTTAAACCTCAGGCTGAAGGTGGTGCTCAGTGTTTTCTGGGTCGTGTGGTATTTAACTTTTGTCCCCATGACTAGTCATTAGTCAGCTTTTCTATATTAATGTTGGGTGTCTGATGAGGCTTCTTACCTATTTGTGGGCCCAGGATTTAAATTTTATATTTTCAAGGTGTCCAAAAAAAATTGAAATTTCATGAAGAGTTCAATATTTCAAGTGATATCTAAGGAAAAAAATGTTTATCAGTTTCAAAATATTCCATGTTTTTATCCTATTTTTTCTATGTCAGTACCTGTTTGTTTTTTTTTTCCTGTTTAGTACTTATCCACTCTATGTTACATGCCTGCTTTGTTCCAGTTACTGTTAAAATCATAACAAAATGTTGAAACTTTGAGAATTTCAATGGAATTTAAGCAATTGTATTGGAACAATTGCATTATTGTTCTTGACCTTAGATGTAGTTAATTTTGCCCAACTTTGTCCTTGTGTTTTCTTTCTTGGGAAAATTTTATATCTGGTACTTGGAAGTTTCTAATTTTTATTCTGCATTTGCATTCAAATTGCCAAAGGGGGAGATAAAATTAGTTCATTGCCTTGCATCAGATTTGATGAGACATTATTTTTCTTTGGCACTGATTGTATAATGTTTTCTTGTTGAGAAGCCGAGTTTGGTAAACATGACATGACAGTAAGAGATTACCTTTATATACTTCTATTTAAAGTTTTAACACCAAAATTTCTCCAGGTGAGGGGACCTTAAGATTACATTTACATATATAACAAATTATTCACCTATGGCTCCATTTGGAAGGAGTACAAATACAAATACACAGAGAGCAAAACCTTGTATTTTGTATTATTTTATATGTATTTGTACTGTACATATTTGTTTTTGTACTCCTTCCAAACTGAGCCTATAGAACAAAGGGGTGGGGTTTTCTCTCCTCTATCAAAGTACATAAGGTGGAAAGGTAAGACACTTGAATTTTTAAAGAATGTATAAAAGATAGCAGCATCCTTAAACTAGGATAACTGATAATCCAAGTTGTTTCTGTATCTTCTTTTATTATCTTTGTATTATTCAATAAACAAAGGAAAATGGAAGTCCCAAGTTGATATTAGGTGTCCCTTGTCCTTGTAATTAAACCATAATTCTGTTATTGAATTCCTTCTTGGTATTAATATTGGTGGTTCATCCCATAGCTTGGATGCCACATTTTATTTTCCTAGTTCCCTTTCCCCCCACCCGCACTTTTATTTTTTCCCTACATCAAATTTGAAATTCAGGATAGATCTATAATTGTTTCACCTTCTCCAATAAGTGTGGGTATGTCATATACATGCAAAACATTAAAATTTCTTCTTGATACTTGTCTTCCTTTCTATCTATTGACATATCTTTGGTTCAGGATTATTTACTTGTTATAAAAATGGGCTATAGAGTTGTATCTTGGAGCTTTAGCTCTTGTAGAAAACCCATGGAAATGGTGATCTGTTTACTTCATTTCTGAGTTATCCTAAACATTCTTAGTTCTGTGGCCTTCCAGTGGAACTTTAGGGCCTTCTGTTTTGATACCTGCTTGTATGGGTTAGTTATTTCTATGGCCACCACAAATGATTCAAGACTCCTGTGTATGACATTTTTTCCCTTGGTTGCAGCCGAGAGTATGTAATGTTGCACGAGAACTCAGTGGAGTAATGAGTATGGATATGGCCTGTGGAGCCCTCGAACTAATTCACTGCGATTGTGCTCTTTGGCACACTAAAGATCCAGGGATGTTCCACTTGCACAATTGTAGGTTCTGCCTGTTGCAAGGCATTCACAATCCAATTCAACTGTTTCAAGCTTTTCGGTTCTGGCTACTAAATAGTGGTTCTAACTTTAGATTGTGCAGATTTATCCCCTTTATGGTTGAAGCTCCTGAAACTACAAGGATATTCTGTAAAATGCTGAATTTTATGAACCAGATAGCGTTAGCCGTGGCCATTTTAGAGCAAGTTCTGTTTTATTTGCTCTTGCCTTCCAGAATGCAAGTAGATAATCTGACGAGGTTTAATCATCTGAAAGCCATTATCTGAGTATAGATTTCTTTTGGACTAAGATATTCCTGTCAATTTTTGGGTATATTTGTCTTGGGTTGCGGTGATTTTCTTCTCACTTTGCGGTATTTCAGTTTTAACTTGAATTCTTCATGACTGTATAATATATCAAGAAGAGTCCAACTCCGTCCAGATAAATAAAACCAAATGAATACTAATGATGCACATCAGGGCCGTTGGTTTCTTTCAGCCCAAATAAACCTGTATTGTCCACATGTATTTGTCCACCGAACCCACCTAAGCTCAACCACTAATCTCAAGTAGATCAGATGGTTGAGAGTTACTGGCGCAAATGAGATTGTACCCAAAGGCCCTTCCAACTTTGTTCTTCAATATTGGTCGTTTGTTCATTTTCGGTTCTTAGTTTATACCCTTTAAAAAGTGATGAATGGACTACACTACGGAGATGACTACAAGTCTACAACTGCTGAATGTTCTGTTTGTGTGGACCTGGCCAAGCTGGAGCAACTTAAGGACTTGTGTGACTGCATGATCGTGTGGTTAAAAGCCTTCTTGTACTAGAAAACTCCACTAATGCGTCTTTCATCATGGAAGAGAAAATACTAAAACTCACTATCAATAAATATCTGGCTTTTTCATTTTTTATCTTATATCACAGAGACACAGGTAAAAGCTGTCTTACGCTCTTGCCTGACAGAAAACTCCATTAGCTGTTTCTTATTATTATCTAGGCATTAGGCAGTTGTTCTACTCACTTGGACATGATATTTTGCGTGTCATTACTTTGATGTTATCTTGATTCTAAATTCCATCTTGTAGACAAGGTTCTAGCTCTTTATATGCACGCTCGATTCCTCAGCAGACGTGATGGAGTTGTTTGAGAATTGCTCCTTAAAAATGTTTTATATGCACGCTCGATTCCTGAGCAGACGTGATGGAGTTGTTTGAGAATTGCTCCTTAAAAATGTTTTATTCAATTTAGGATAAAATTGACAGGAGCAAAGTAACCAACTAAAGAATTTACGTCTCATGAAGATTCTATGCCTCTGCATTCTGTACGATAGCCATTGAAGTAGCAAGAAGCAACTTACAGTAACAAGTCTTATCTTTACTTCAGATGAAAAATGAAAATGCAGCAGGCTGTTGGATTAAATAAGATGGGTGCTGGTGCAAGAGCAAAAATAGTTGCAGTCTTAAAAACATTGTGTGGGAAACCACCAGAACTCTCCTATAGTGGCTTTTCAAAGTCCACCATGAGATGCGGGATTTTGGTTAGCTCATTTAAGGGTGTGGGAAAATTTTTGAATTCTGGGTGTCTCAGACGGGACACCCATGCCCTGTTTTCTGAAGGGGATGTAAGTATAACTCGATCCATTTGATGCCCTACAACAATTGGCTCTCATTAGTAAAGACTGGTTCAGTAGTACATCAGACTTTCTGGATAAAAAACAGGAGCACCAAAGGAAGTCTAAGAACGACCCGAGTACAAAAATCTCTATCTTAACAAACAACAAAGACGAAGGTGATGGGTGTGCGGTTTTCGTCGTCAATCAATCCTCTTCTTTCTATCCATCATGGGTCTGCTGAGCTTGTCCGAAGAAGCCTTGTTACTCTGTGGCACGACTCCACGCAAAATCGCTAAAACAGTAAAACCCAGAAAGGGGAAGTACATTTTCAGCAGCTTATCGGATGTCTTGCCCGAACCCATTAATTCCCCTAATATAGCAACCTGTAAATTTCAATGTTCAATGTGTTCAACATAAAAACAAAAATAAATATTAATTACTTAGAAATTAAACGTTCATGGATCCTTCACCCATTTCTGGTCTCTGATCTATATTAATTTTGATAAATAAATTTCAGTACTAGCCCCCAAGACCCTCGGTGCACTTAAGCATAAACGTGATCGGAGGACGTACCATGGTACTCAAGGTAGAGACGCCATAGATCAAACAAGTAGTCTTCATCCAGGATTTCTTCGCGACAATGCCATAGAGGTTAGCGATGGAGAGAGGCCATTGGAGGAGGAGCTCTAGCCACACAATGCCCACGAAAAAACCTGGTTTCTCAACAATCAAATAATCGCCGTACTCGCGGGCGTACCAGGATTTGAGATCGACCAGGAAATCGGGAAACATGTGTAGAGGGAGACAGGTCTGGGCGTCGATGAGCGGAGCCACCACGGCGATGAGGAGGAAAAAGAAAAATAAGATGGCGTCGACGAGCTTGCACAGACCCATGTTCTGCAAACAAAAAAGGGGATCCTTTAGTCCCCAGATTTTAAAATACGATAATTCAGTATCTTAACTTTGGAGACCGTCAGTTACATGTATCATGTGTAACTTCATGTACGATTTAAGAATTTTGAAAATGTCAAAATTATTCATCATGAAGATCTTTGTCAACCCTTGCAACAAAGCCCAAACTCTCTTTTATTCCTATAGGTAAAAGAGAGGAGAACTGGATGACTTGTCTTGATACTTGAGAGAAAGAGATATCAATGATGGTRGCTGGAGACTCTTCTCTTTTTCAGTTTTTTAGATAAGATAATTACAATAGTTAAAGAAAAAATTTTCTCCTATAAATTACTTTGGTTTTAGTTTGAAGATGACGGAATATTCAGAGGAGAAGTAGGGAATTTGTTTTTGGGCTTGTTTTTAATTTTTCTTCTTTTCATTCCCTTTGTTTTTTGTTTTTGGGGAGTTAAGTTATTTTATCTCTCCTTTTGCATCTATATTCCCTCTTTTCTTTTAATTTAATGAAGATGGTGTTATTGATAAAAGAAAAAAGTGTTGTTGCACGGATGAAAAATTTGGTGGCTTGTTTTGATTTTAGTGGATGGTTGATAAAGAAAATTAAATGACACTTAAAGGGCATTTGTATCTTTTCACATGCCACTTAATGGCTGATTAAGGACAAGTATTACATTATTGTGTTTTAAAAGTTTGAATACTTGATTATTGCAATTTTAAGTTTAAGGACCAAATTACCACTCGAGCCAAATACATAGAATACTGATTGAAAATTAATACTAGAAGAATAAATTTCTTAAACTACTCTTATGGTTTAATTAATTGACTAACTCTATTAAGATCTAGCGATTTAGAAGTGCATTTTATAGCATAGATTTCAGTAGTTCAAATTTGTCATTTTGAGTTGGGCGTTCTTATTGTAGTTGGAGAAGGGTGGGTAGACTGTGAGGCCCTCTGCGTTGTGAATGCTAGTGGACCCACGTGTGCATCCCTGCCGTTCTGCCACCGCTAAACACGAACCTGCTGGTCTAGATTGAAGTAAGGGTGTGATTTCTGGTTTGGATGTGAAGCAACTTCATTTTTTATTGTCATGCTTAATATTTAACACTTAAGGAATTATGCACATTCACAAGCAAATAGTAAAGAGATAAGTTGGTATTGTATATTAAATTTAATTTTTACAATAAAAATGGTCTATGAACAGTCCATAACTCCCAAGACCCTAAATAGCCAGGGTCTCAACAGCCTTAAAACTAATTTCATTAAAAATTGTAATGCAGTATGGTTATAAATTGTAATATTAGCAAAATTCCATATTTTTGTATATATATAATGTAAATATTTGTCTTTATTTTGATCAAGATCATAAAAGTTAAATAGAGTATCATCATATAAGGTCAATACTTAAATTTTTACATGTGTAGCACATGCTTACACTAACAAGTTTTAAGAGATAAATCTTATTTATTTATTATATTAGATATAGTATTTTATTTTTTTTTTAATTTACTGTGACATTGATGAAATCACAAGATCTTACCAGGGATTAGAAGTGGGTAATAGCTTGTGGATGGGAACCATCTAGAAATGGCCTTAAAATATGCCACCTCATTAAAAAAAAAAAAACTCTTAATGGGTGTGTGATGTTTCAAATCAAAACCAACTCTAATTTTCTTTTGCTAAATCCATAGTACAAAAGCCATTTTCAGGCAAACCAAACCAGTCGGCTCATGAGCAACTCTTTGAAATCATTGATAAAAAAAAAAAAAAAAAATTGTGGGAGGGCTGTTCTCGACTAATCCAGAGACAGCTGCAACTAGAAAGTTGCAATCGCTTTCGATAATAATTGACCCTTGAACCTCGATCATGGACCTCAGTAACCTGACCCCTTCCACAAAAGACATCACCTTTGCATGAAGCTGGGAGGAAACCTTGAGAGCACCACAAGAACCTGCCAGAATTCTATCTCTGAAGTCTCTGATTACTGCACTAAAGGGTCMTTTTTTATCACCAAAAAAGTCTCCATCTATATTCACTTTCACAGCACCATAGTCCGGAGGAACCCAAAAGCATGCTTTAGTTTCTTCTTTTTCAGCCGCTTGGCTCACCTGGGACCTGGTCCCCAAGCAGTCCAGCCTCTCCTGCACTTTCCTGTTGATACAATTTAGAACATGAATCAGATCTGTATTAGTACCTTCAAATATAATACCATTTTTGAAATTCCATATTGACCAGAGTGAAAGGGCTATATGACAATTTCTACCCTACCTGGTGGGTACTTGCCCCAACCCTCCCTGATGGGACGGGTTTATTTTGTTTGAATGATGGGTTTTGAGGTGGGGATGGGTTTTAGGATTCTACAACCTGTATAGGTACAGGTAGGGTACAGTATTAAGCTAAGCCCAACCCTCTTTGACCCGCTTATTGTTGGAAAGCATATTAAGTTTATTCACCAAGTGTTGAATAGGTATCTGTCAGGATAATACAATAGAGGTTTTGAGGAGAGACACCACCAGGGGTGCAATTAGGGTTTCTCTATAGGAGAGCTGCCGTCGGGGGTGCGACTCCCTATTCGTAGAGCCAGTGATCCATCGGCTTCCTATAACTCCTTCGACAGAAACATGACTATTCTGGCTGGTGATCTGCTAGTGAAATTTTTTGCTGTGATAGTAAGTTCTCTCTTTCTCTCTCTTTCCCTCGTAAGCAAGTCTAAAGAAGGGAGAACCAACGGTTTTTTTTTTCCTCTAGAGCAAATCTGTAGCAGCCCTATGAAGTTTTCAAATGGACCTTGATCGGAAAGTGTATGAATGGCCGTCTAACACTACCGGGGATTCAAGACTTGATTGTTCATTCTTTTCTTTTAAAAGGTGTGGTTTGAGTTACTTCTTTGGATTCAAAACATGTTTTTGATCCATTTCGCTATATTGGAGGATTTTTTCAAAGTGTGGTTGTGTGGTATCTTTAAAATCAAATCATTTTTATTTAAATTATTCAAGTGGATGCCATATTTTGTGTTCGGCTAGGGGCCATTTGTGGTTTCCGTTTGGATCAATCTCCTCTTTCTTCCGATTAGCTTTTTTTTGGAAGGTTTATTGTGTTCTATTGCCTAAGCCATTGGCCCATTGCTAAAGCTTGATCCTGTAACTATAAGTCTCTTTAGAACAAATGCAACTTGGGTTTGTATTGAGCTGGATCAATAGGAAGAAACATCCATCTCGCGTTCATGACGCTAATGCTTGATAGCACAATATGGTGAAGATTCCTGCTAGTTGGCTGGTGGCCATGAAAACAAAGTATAAACAATCTCCTCTCAATAGGAAATTGATATAATTGGAAACTCCCTTAGATAAGAGAAAACTTGGAGGTGTTTGCTGAAAATATAAATGAAGAATCTGAAATGCCAGTTATTTTAGGTCCATTTAATGCGAGTGTTTACCCAATGCCTGTTCACAAACAAGGTATTATGGTTAAAGAGGACCTTTTTCTTGCTGACTATAACAGACCATTTTGGGATTTTGGCAAAAAAGTTAACTCAACCCCACCAACTATAGAATTTCTCATCTTGATTGGAAGGTTTGATCGATGGAAAAATAGTTTTGATGTTTTTCCTCCCGTGGCATTAGTCGACAATGAGGACACTTCCATTTCACCATTACCAAATCCGATTGACACAGGAGAATGTTTTTTTGTTCTAATATACATAATAGAGAAAAAGGTTCAAACTTGGGGCAAGATGATGACTCTCAATCAGAAGTAGAGATGATTGACATTATGGAATTGAAAAGGTTTAGTGCTATGATTCAAAAACGTCTTAATGTCAAACGGGATTTTAATTCAAAGCAAAAAGGGAAAGAAACTACATCTGTTATGGTTGGCATGGAAACTAAAACTGAAGAATCTAATGCTTATTAGGGGTGTTTAGGGTTCCGTTAATCGAACCATGGTCCTTTTTTGTAAATCGAACCTCTGGTATCGGTTTTTTCATTTCGCCAAATCGAAATCGAATTGGTACCACCAGTTAACTGGTCCGTCGGTTTTGGTTTTTAACCGTTTCAATTCTTCGGTTTTTTATATGTATAATATTATATTATAAATGACAAATGATATATAATATATTATAAATATTTTAAAAATATATTTATATATAATACATAGAAAATATGTGACCTATATTAAATATATATATATATATATATATATAATATATACCGGTCGGTTCGGTTAATTGTTGGTTTTTTGTAGGTTAACCGAAAACTGAACCGGTCCTTTGGTTTTTCAAGAATTTCGAACCGAAACCGAATTGATCGGTTCAATTAGCCGCATTTTGCAGTTCGGCGGTTCGATTTAGTTTCTCGGTTTTTCATGGACACCCCTAATGCTTATCCTAGGGTTTGTTAACATCAATGTTTTTGAACCGTCGTTGACCCAGACGGTTGGACCATTCAGCCTGGAAATCATCGTAGCAACCGATTCCATTTCACCCTTGACCCATTCTTGGGTTAAAAACCATTGACTTTGTTAGAAAACTACTGGCCCGAGTGGTCAGACCGTCGACTCGTTTGACCCGGACATTGGTTCGCAGTTTAAGAAATTGCAGAGAGGGGAGAAACTGAGAGTCTGAGTCTGAGACACAAACTCAAATTTGAGATCCAACAGAGAGAGAGAAGAAGAAGAAGAAGAAGAAGAAGAAGAAGAAGAAGAAGAAGAAGAAGAAGAGAAGTCGATCTTAGATCTGAGGTCTAAGAAAAAAAATGAAAAATCGATCTCAGATCTGAGATCTAAGAAAAAAAATGAAAAATTGATCTCAAATCTGAGATTTGAAAACTCATATCTCATATCTCAGATCTGTCATCTGCGTCTGTTACCGCCATCTCGCCGTCGCTGTCACCATATCGCCATCACCGGTGACCGTCGAATCATTCTCCTCCTCTTCCTTCTTCCCTCATTTCCTCTTTCCTTTCTCTCCTTTTCCTTATTTTCTTTTCTCATTCTTTTTTTTCTTCCCTTCTTTTCTTCTTTCTCAGCCCACAACAGTTTCTTTACTCTTTTCTCCATTTCTACTTTCTCATATATAAATATATAACTATTTGCCCTAATGCAAACCATCAGAACCATTCAACCCGAATGGTCAAACTGTTGACTTGAAAACCGATAGCCAGAACATTAGTCGACATTGAGAACATTGTGGTTCTAGATAAAAGTGGCTTAAAAGATAGCGTTCTTGAT